GACGAGGGCGAGAAGTGGATCGTTAACCTGATCCGGGACACGCGGGTGGACGCAAAGATAGACTACAAGGAGGGCACCGTCGTGATGAACCACCAACCGAACTCGGTGTATCAACAAGTCATTGAGCGGACGAAGGGTGGGTTCTTCCGGACTCAGGTGCTCAGTGCCGCTGTCGGCCGGTAGAGCGGTGGACATCTCGCAGTGTCTGACTACGAGAGTCCGAAGGAGGGCCAAGGGGAGCGAGGAGAACGGAGCGAAGGAGAGGGGGGAAGGGGGCGAAGACGACGGAACAGACGGAAACGGAAGGCGAAGAAAAGGGCATAGAGAAGATGGTGAAGAGGATAACAAGGACGGCGGAAAGGAATCCTAGAATGAGGGCGATGGGAGCGTTGAAGGACAAAGGGCCTGGGTGAGAATCAAGCTACCGGCTACCGGCTGCCATGTGCTATTTGGGTCTTTCGTGCTTCCTCTACCGTCGGCAGGCGAGGAGCTCGAGCGAATGCTGGAGGAAAGGCCAGCAATAACCCTCAGGACGGTGGTCTCGAGACTCATGTCAAGTTCTTCTGCAGCAGAGATGGGCCACACTCGCCTATGACGCAGGATGCAACGGTAGTCTGGTTTTCTCAGGGCGAGTAGGGCAGATTTGGAGCAGCCGGCGTCTTAGGTCATGGGCGTGGACATGGACCTGGCAGCGGTAGCTTAGTTTCCTGGCTCAGCGGTTGTGGCTTAAGGCAGGGCGAGTTACGCATACATGGCGTTTATCACTGGCATGGATGTGGTCTTTGGCTGCGGCTTAAAAGAAACATGGTTGTTATGGTGCAGGAATAGAAAGTTCTTTTTTTCTCATTCGTTTTTCTGATCGCGAGTGGTCTGTTGGTGACTGCGTGCATGAGGTGCTGCGCCCCAATTGCATACCTACCTTCGCCAACAGGAGGCCAACAACAGTAGGCCAACAACAGGCGGTTAGCAAACCCATCGTGATGTTCAATTATTGCTGCCTGTTTACGCCTTTTGCTCAACCAGCTCTTGACATCTTGACTCACCGGACTGAGATCTATGGAATGGTGAAGAACAGCGAAGACGGTTGGCGTGGATTTCACTCCCAGTCGCTACCTCTACCTTCCATGTCTTCATATTTCGCCCAAGTTCCACCTCGCTCCACAACCGCTTGGCAGGAGCAGTCGAAGAGCCACAGGGCCCGAAGTGAATGCCGAAGACCACTACCCTAGGTATAAAGCCGACCGATCTCTCTGCCACCAAACTTTACGTCCACGACTTGCACCTCACACCTACCGCACGTCATCTAAAGACATCTTTAACAGTCAGCATTGAAAGGCGATGCCAGCCAACATCAACGCCGTCAGCTCTTCCCGCCTGAACCGACAACTCGCATCTCTTCGATCAGAAAGCTAGACCCCCGGTTAAATATGTCTGCCCTGGGAGAGCCGTCGCACTACGAGGTCACTCTCACCGAGCAACTCCCACCCCTTCGCGGCAAGGCTGTCCGCATCGCCGAACGTCTCTCCCACCTCCCGGTCGAGCTCGTTGAACCTGTCATTCAGGACCTGCCGCTCTTCCGCGTGCTCGAGCTTCTCTCCGTGCCGACATGCGGGTCATCGCTCACATGGGCCGTTGAGAAGGGCCCAGCTTGGTCGTGGCTATTCGAGGACAACGTCTCCCGACTGAAGCGTCTCTGAGCTTCCTTCAACCGCATGTCATGGCTGTGGTGCTTAGAGGGATACATGGCAGTGAAAGACCTGCCCCATCGGCACGTTCGTCTGACCTCCGTGGAACTCCGGATGATGTACACATCTGTTCCTCAACAGCAAGTGGGCCCGCTTGGCTCGGCGAGAGAGCGCGAGAGGACTTAGAGGAGTCACTGACCATGGGTATTCAGCGCCTGCTCGGATGTGATATGTACGACCAACGCTTGAGGCAGGGGCACAACCTCCATATCGGTTTCACGATTCCTCAACTTAGGGCACTCTGTCTTTTCCTCCCTGATATCCTCGTCTCAGCGGTCAAGCGCCGAGCTTCTTGGTCTTTTGGCAGACTCCTCGCAGATGCAGTCCTGCCAGACAGCCAGCTGGACTGCCTGACAAGTGGCGAGAACAAGAAAGATGTGGACATCTCCAGCGCAGATTTCTCGAGGCCTGGGCTCTGGAATGTCGACACAGCACACCGGTTCCTACCGTTTTTGGCCCGTGCCCATAAGTTGCTCAAAGAGTCCTATTCCTCCGAGTTACTTTCCGCTGTCGAATTGTACGACCAGTTCCCGGGAAAGTTGAAGCTCCCGTTTGCTCCTCAGACGCCGGCATGCAACAAGAAACATGTTGCTGAACACTTGCGAAGAGACGCCGCGCGAATGCCTACCAAGCCGCTGCGCACACGGACCAAGGTCGTCGTTTCTCCGAATTCGATAGAAATCTTCATGAACTCCGGAACATATAGGTTCCGGTACCCTGACCCCGTCCTCATCCCGTACGATTGGTGCTTTATCCTCTTTGAGGCCGTCCGGCGGCGATATCCACCTGCGGACCATCCTTCGCGCTACCCTGAAGCACTGCTCCCAGCTCTGAGAGAGGCAGAGGCCGGGGTACAGACGATCTATCACCGGAGCCCGGGACAGTACACCCGTCTCCTGGAGCGTCTCGACGACACCGGCATGCCCAACACGAAGCGCCTGCGGGCGATCCTCCACAAGGACCCCAAGTACGCTCCATTTCTGCCCTACGTCAGCGGGCCCCCCAGACCAGTGCGCGAGCTCTCCTGGCTGAAGTCGTTTCTCGTCTGCGTGGGATGGATGGAGAACGCCTTCAGCCCCCTTGCCTCAGCATCCAAGTCACTTGTAAAGTGCAACACACGTCTTCACATCCGGGATCTGGGTAACGATGCCCTCTTCCCTCCGCCGGACTACGGCAAGTTTGTGGCTGAGGCACCGGCAGAGCTCGTAGCCTCGTGCATCCTGCGCGATTCTAAGCTTTGCGATGAGGATGATCTTGAGGGCAAAGGGCCGGGACCCAGTTCGCTTGGCCTTCACCTGCCGGAAATCACGACCTCGCGCGGGCGTGAAATTGCCAGATATCTGGTCGCTTCGACGGATTTGGGGATGGACATACGGCAGCTCACTTATGACAGTCTCAAAGGCAAGCTCGTCAGGCACAGGAGAGAGTCGGGGTTATCAAAGGTCATGCCGATGGCTACAAGCTGGCTTTTGAGGTTCCGATGGACGGGTCGATTTTCACGAGCGAGGAGGCTGCAACGACTGATGCGCCTGCGCCCACCGAACCTCCACCCACGCAAGACCCTGGGGTCACTGAGATGGAGGTCGACATAGCCGCAAGGGTACTCCGCAATCTACTTGGGTCTTCTCTCCCTCCTGGCGCCACGGCCATCGATGCGCTGAAGGTACTAAACAACCTCAACTTGAACAAAGACGACAATCATCCAATGGCAGTAGACGAGCCAGCAACCAGCGACCCCAAGTCGTGGGACGACACTGTGAGACAGTATCTCACGACCCGACCTCCCGGTACACTGCGCGGCAACGACACATCGCGGCGCTGCTACATCTGCAACTTTTACATCCACGTCCCGCACAAGACGCAGCCGTCCATGTGCATTCCCTGTGGCAATTTCAACCAAGCTGGCTCCGATCTGTCGATGCCAGGAAACCTCAACCTCTGCGGCAAGACCGCCCTAGTGACTGGTGCAAGAGTCAATCTCGGCTACCATGTTGCGTTGAGGCTGCTTCGGTGCGGAGCGAAGGTCATCGCCTCGACACGGTACCCCCGGGATGCCGTGTCTCGGTATGAGGCCGAGCCGGACTCGGACAGGTGGATTGGCAATCTGAGGGTTGCTGGGGCTGACTTTCGCTCAGCTCGCGATGCGTTTGAGCTGGTACAACAAGCCCGGACCATCATTTCAGCATGGGGAGGCAGGCTGGACATCCTGATCAACAACGCTGCACAGACGCTGACCGACAGCATCAAGACGGAGGGGCATGCGGTGCACAGGGAGAACCTCCTCAAGGGCAAGGTATCGCCTACCCCACTGCTGGAGCAGCAGTATAGCCCCCGTGTCCGCGGCGGTGCGCAATCGTTGGTTGAAGGCCCAGCGGCGGACTTCTCCAAGGATCTTAGCCCAGCAAGCACATCGGGCACGGCTACTGATCTAGGTCCCGTCAACGCGAAATCGTCCTGGGTGCAATCCCTCCCCGAGATTCCCTACGAAGACATCATCTCCGCCCACAGCGTGAACACCTTCGTCCCCCTGATCCTGATCCGGGAACTCCTTCCCATGATGGGCCTACCCCAATCTGCAGCCTCCTCCTCCCCAACAGCCTCCCCAACGGCATCAGACACCTTGCCATCTACCAAGCAGTCTCCCCTGGGCTACATAGTCAACGTTCCTCCCGCGAAGGCATCTTCGAGTCCCGCCCGCAGCACGCGCACAAGGCAGGCCACCACGTGCACACCAACATGTCCAAGGCGGCGCTCAACATGATCACCGAGACGGAGGCGGGGCCGGCGTGGACTGCGAGGAGGGTGGCGATGAACACCGTCGACACCGGGTATATGAGTGCCGCACCGGAGATGGAGGATCTTTTTGATGGGACGAGGCCGATCGGGTGGGAGGATGGCGCCGGCAGGGTGCTGTGGCCTGTTGCTGTTGGAGAGGGAGGTGACAAGGGGAAACAGGGACAGGCGGTTTGGGGACGGTTTCTGAAGCACTATGGGGCTGTTAGGGTCGAGACTGGCTGGGGGAGGGGGTGATGGAAGAGGTGGTATGATGGAAGTGGGGATGAAGTGTGTTTGGCTGATGAGACGTGATATGGGCCCAGGCGACCAGAGAACGAGAGACGAGGTTCTCGTTGAGGCCACGATATACCATAGAGAAGCATTAGCCGACGCAAAGTGCGGGTATATCAGCGACAACAAGAAATAATAAGAATGAAATCACCATCTCCCGGGTCAAAAACGAAAATCAAAAGAGAAATGTGGAGGAGCTGGGAGTCGAACCCAGTACCTCGTGCAGGAACATGTACGCTGATGATTGCTCACCAAGTGAAATGCTAAGCACGCGCTCTACCAGATGAGCTACACCCCCTGAAAGCTTGTTGTTAAATTCTTGGCCACTAAGAGACAACATCTGCCAAGAGGTTTACAAAACCGCAGTGACCCACTGTGGAGAGGAGGTGGCAGCATGTGGAGCGGCATCTCCCCAAGATATTCCACTCCACTGTTTACGATCTTGCCAAGTTGTTGCTGCTGACCTTTCTCCGGGGCAGATGCAGATCTAGGTTGTCTTGGACCCTTCTTTTTCGCGATAAGGCCGCATGCCACCGTGCATATGCGACCAATAACGTCTGCCGCTTTTTACGAACGTCGATGAGAAGTTTCCTTCTCTTGGGACCGCCGAACCAGCCGACGGCAACGGCCGGCGGAACGAATAATGAAGACGTATTGTCAATCGAGGGTGACGCCGATTGCCGGCCTGGCCTCTTGAAATAAAAATACGTCGCATTTCCCACTGATGCTGATGCTCAGTTTCTATCACTGCACCTGACCAGGGGAGGCTCAGCTTCACCTGTCCTCACCTGTCATCGAGGCTACTCCCACCAGCATGGCCATGACCAAGGAAAACATGGCACCCGAAGGCGCCCTGCCAGAATTCAAGGTCCTGGACCTAGAACCTAGAACCTACATCCGAGAAGCTTACCACTCTAAGCATACACTCCTCCCTATCAGGTCCAGATGCCTTCGCACCACTCACAATCGATCCCAAAGCCGAGCAACTCACTTGTCTGCAAGTTCGACCTCCGCCTCCTGCCCGTGCTGGCAGTCATGTATCTCTTCAACAGCCTGGACACCCGAACCTGGGGAACGCGAAGACCGCCAAACCGGGCCTGGAGTCCTCCCTCGGACTCGTAGGCAACCGGTATAACTTCTTGCCTCAGATCGTTGCCCGACTTGGCTACTCCCCCACCAAGACGAACCTATATCGAACCTATTCACCGATGCACCGACTGTATCGGGGGTCGTGATGTTGCTCATCCTTGCCATTGCGAGTGATTGCACGCGTTTGCGCTTCCCTTTTGTGGCTGCTGGGTTTCTCTTCACGTTTATTGGTATGGTGATCTATGCCGCCATCGATGTTGAGCACCAGTTGCACACTGCCTACTTCGCCTCCTTCATGATGACCTGGGGTACTTCGGCACCGAGCGTGCTACTGGATGTGCTGTACAATAATAACGTCGCGCATGAGGGGAGGAGAGTGGTGCCGACCAGTGTGGGCGTGCCGGTGGCCAACATGATGGGCGTGGTCAGCTCGAACATCTTTCTCAACAAGGATGCACCAAGTATATACCATCGCTGGCGACCACGGCGGCGTTTGGTGGCACTGGGCTCGTGCTTACATTTCGGCTTTTGGGGTTTGGGGCGTACATGATGTGGGACAATCGGCGGAGGGACGCGAGGCAGGGCGGTATCAAGGTTAAGGCGACGGAGATTCCTACGGAAAAGCTGAGGGATGGGCCGGATTCGCTTGACTTCAGATGGTGTTTGTGAGGAGAGGTTTGGATATTCATTGTTCGGGCAGATGCGCACTTATGGCCACGATCTAGTGCTCATTGTCATATCCTCCCCACCACCGTGGCCGATGCATCCCATCACCCCCCACATTGACTACCCGCTCAAACAGTAGCAAAGTTCAACGGCCCAGCCCAAACCCTCAACCTCTTTCCCCAGAAGACCAAGGCCAACACAAACAGGAAAGCTCCTCCACAAATCGCTCCCTGGATGCCAAAGCTCTGCTTCGTCCCTTGCGCTGTAGCCCACGTCACCTGGAAGTAACTAATGATAAACCCACCCAGCGTCCTCGAGAAGTTGATCCAAGCTGACACCTCGCCGCTGGCCTCGGGGTAGCTGTCGAGACAGTAGCTGCTCACCGCCACGGTGGTGATCATGGCACTGAAGACGTACATCCCCCAAGCGACGCTGGTGGCCATGTAGTGCCAGTTGTTCTCCAGGCTCTGGCCGATCAGGACGAGGCCCACGATCATGAAGGGGATGGCGAAGAAGATTGCGCGCAGACGGACCTCGGGCTCGAAGCGGCCGTGGTGCGTGCGGATGTACTGCTTCGCAAGGATGTCGTGCAGCCAGTGTCCGCATATCTCGCCCAGTAGGGCTGCGACAATGGGGGTGAAGTAGAAGTAGCCAATCTGCTTGAGGCCGAAACCGTACTGAGGACCAAGGAAGATGGAGAGAGTGGTGTTGATGCCAACGGCCCAGCCGAAAGTCTGTGGTCTTGGTCAGCTATACATGTCCAGTGGGCTTGTGCAAGGAGGCAAGGACGTACAAGGAGGTAGAATATGCAAATCAGGAAGACCACCGGCTTAAAAAGGACGCTGAAGACGCGCCAGCAGGCCTGGCCGACGGTGTTCCTCAAGTGCCGAGACTTCCACTGCGCCAGTCCAGTCACGCTTGCCACGCGGTTGCCAAGAGAGGGCTGCTCAGCAACAGAGAGAGTGCGGTCGTAGTATGTCTCTCTGAGGAAGAAAACGGTGAGAACGAGTCCCAGAGCGGTCAGAGCAAAGTAAACCCAGAAAGGAGTCGGCCACGGTTCGGTGCTGGTCTCGAAGGCGGCGAGGAGAGGTCCCATGTATGGGCTCAGGATGATGAAAGACGCCCAGATGTTGATCTTGCGCGCTCGCTCGTGAAAAAAGAATATGTCCTGGATGAACATGAGACCGCCTGACTGGGTCACGGTAGAGAAGAAGCCGTTGAGGATGCGGGCGGCCATGAAGGACTCGAAGCTGGTTGCTGCAGCACACCAGGCTGCAGTCAGAGTCGCAAAGATGAGAAACCAGAAGACCACGGGAAGACGGCCGAAGTAGGCGCTGAGCATGACGACTGGGCAAAGTCAGTTAAATCCAGAAGAGCTGCCGGTGGGAGCAGGAACCTACCAATAACGCCGCCTGCACCGAGCATGAACACGTTACCGACCTGCGAGTGGTTGACCTCATCAGGCGTCATGTTCCATTGCCTATACTCGAGTCAGTACCAAGTCGCCCACGCTGGGTTTCTGATCGCAACATACGCAGCTTGAGGCAACAAGGTGACGGCGCCAGTCGCACTTCCAAAGTCGGGTAAAAAGGCGATAAAGGAGATGATAAACAGGATGATGTGCTTCGTGGCCTTGCTCCAGTTTAGAGGGTCATTGGGATCGTCGCTGGGCTGGGGAATCAGTCGCGTATGGCCGTCTTTGGCGACCTTGACGTTCTCGCCCGACTCAGCATCGACGACATAGCCTTCGGTCTCGCGATATTCGTGGAGCTTCAGAGCGTGCGAGGTCGTGCGACGCGGGTTCTCGCTCTCGACAACCTCGTGCTTGTGGCCGTCTGCCTCGACGGCGGACATTGCGAGGGGCGGTTGTGGGATTGGACGTGAATATCTCGTGGTGGTTTAGCTGAAGGGTCGGTTGCGATTGAATCCAAGGAAGAGCAAATGAGAGCGACTGTCAAGGGAAGGTCGTATTACCGGGCAGCTACCGATTTCGAGAGGGAGGCCACAGCACGTATATAAACCCCCCAACCGAGTTCGGTTCCGCTGAGACGAAGGTGAGAAACCACCGAAAGCCAAGGAACAGAAGACTCCAAGACGTCCATTAGCGTCCGCTCTCGCGTGGAGAAGCATGCGGACTAATCCTTATATCAGCCTCCTGTCGGCACCCAAAGTGCGTTCCAAGACCGGGATATCTGATCGACCAAGGTGGCAATAAGCATCATACATCGAAGCTATCGAAGCTAAGGCGGGACAAGCAGCGGCTAGCTCGCCCTCTTTCCCCAGTTTGCCCTCCGCTTCCCCAATGCTTGAACAATTGCCGACGTGCGGGGAGAGGCTAGCAGGATGCGGAGACGATGCCACGCCGGGATATATCCTGGTCTGGATGCAACGGCATTGCATTGACGGCTCGGCACCCTGCCAACGAGATCGGATGACAGTACGAGTACCTACACTGACCGGACTGGAGATCATGCAGCGCTGTTGATAGGTGTATTTAACAGGAGCTGACGTGCATTGTTGTATAATGTTATGTCTGCGAATGGTGGAATATCATGAGACTTGTCTTCGAGTCTCTGGAAGGTCTAGAGCGTCGCAAAACACAATGGCATATGATATAGCAGACGCAGGAGCGTGGGATACATATGCTAGCCATGCCACCGTTATCTGTCCAAGCACATCCATCCAACAAATTTCTTCAAGCGACACGCCCCAATTCCCCCGATCACTTCCCATAGACGATGGCTTACTGCCATCAAATTCCCGCTTGTAAGATACCACCAGGTAGCGCAACCTGAGTACATAAAGATTCGTGAAAATCTAGGGACCATGAAGGTAGGTCACCATGATTGCATCATGGACATAGGGTAGCCCGCGAAACCTGTCTCAGTCTTCAGAAAGCGCTCTCCACCGCGCGCTCATCAACACCCCGAACTTGATACTGGCCCTCCGTACCAAGGGCAGCTTCCAGTGCTTGCGCTCATCGAGCAGCAGCTTTTGGGTTTGGTCGAACAACTTGTAGATACGGATGTCGATATATACTGGGGCGTGGCACCTGGGGCTCAGTGAACACTTGCAGGGAGCGGAAGCCCTGCGATGAACCTCGTAGAACCGTCCCTCTCTGCCAGAGTATATGGCGAGGTCTTTCATGTCGTCCATCGGGGACAGGTCAGTCGGAAAAGACAAGATGTATAGTCAGATTGGGAAGACTCACGGTTGTCACACCACTCCCGGATGTTTTGTGACTTTAGTCCAATGGTTGAGGTACGCCCATCTTGGTAAGGGAAGAAGACACAGAAGAACTCTCGAATATCTGGGCAGCAGTCGATGAAGCGGGCGAGCCGATTAGGGCAACAATCAAAATGCCTGCATTCATCCATTGGGTGCTATCGGCACGCTCCACTCCCAGTGGGACGAACCATGGCCACCTTCTCCAGGCCCTCAAAGGATAGCTGTGCGAGAATGTGGTCCATCCTTGACACGACCGGCCCGCCATTGTTGGCTGATAGGCAGTCGGATCCAGTTAGTTTTGGGAGGCCTCCAAAG